GGATATAATAGGTAGGATATAGGTAGGATATAATAGGTAGGATATAGGTAGGATATAGGTAGGATATAATAGGTAGGATATAGGTAGGATATAATAGGTAGGATATAGGTAGGATATAGGTAGGATATAATAGGTAGGATATAGGTAGGATATAGGTAGGATATAATAGGTAGGATATAGGTAGGATATAATAGGTAGGATATAGGTAGGATATAATAGGTAGGATATAGGTAGGATATAATAGGTAGGATATAGGTAGGATATAGGTAGGATATAATAGGTAGGATATAGGTAGGATATAGGTAGGATATAATAGGTAGGATATAGGTAAGATATAGGTAGGATATAGGTAGGATATAGTAGGTAGGATATAGGTAGGATATAGGTAGGATATAGGTAGGATATAGGTAGGATAAAGGTAGGATAAAGCTAGGATATAGGTAGGATATAGGTAGGATATAGGTAGGATATAGGTAGGATAAAGGTAGATAAAGGTTAGGATAAGGTAGGATTAATAGGTAGGCTATAGGTAAGATATAGGTAGGATATAGGTTAGGATATAGGAAGGATATAGGTAGGATATAGGAAGGATATAGGTAGTAATAGGTAGGATATAGGTAGGATAAAGGTAGGATATAGGTAGGTATAGGTAGGATAAAGGTAGGATATAGGTAGGATATAGGTAGGATATAATAGGTAGGATATAGGTAGGATATAGGTAGGATATAGGTAGGATATAGGTAGGATATAGGTAGGATATAATAGGTAGGATATAGGTAGGATATAGGTAGGATATAGGTAGGATATAGGTAGGATATAGGTAGGATATAGGTAGGATATAGGTAGGATATAGGTAGGATAAAGGTAGGATATAGGTAGGATATAGGTAGGATATAATAGGTAGGATATAGGTAAGATATAGGTAGGATATAGGTAGGATATAGTAGGTAGGATATAGGTAGGATATAGGTAGGATATAGGTAGGATATAGGTAGGATAAAGGTAGGATAAAGGTAGGATATAGGTAGGATATAGGTAGGATATAGGTAGGATATAGGTAGGATATAGGTAGGATAAAGGTAGGATAAAGGTAGGATATAGGTAGGATATAATAGGTAGGATATAGGTAAGATATAGGTAGGATATAGGTAGGATATAGGAAGGATATAGGTAGGATATAGGAAGGATATAGGTAGTAATAGGTAGGATATAGGTAGGATAAAGGTAGGATATAGGTAGGATATAGGTAGGATAAAGGTAGGATATAGGTAGGATATAGGTAGGATATAATAGGTAGGATATAGGTAGGATATAGGTAGGATAAAGGTAGGATAAAGGTAGGATATAGGTAGGATATAATAGGTAGGATATAGACAGGATATAGGTAGGATATAGGTAGGATATAGGTAGGATATAGGTAGGATATAGGTAGGATATAGGTAGTAATAGGTAGGATATAGGTAGGATATAGGTAGGATATAGGTAGGATAAAGGTAGGATATAGGTAGGATATAGGTAGGATATAGGTAGGATATAGGTAGGATATAGGTAGGATATAGGTAGGATATAGGTAGGATATAGGTAGGATATAGGTAGGATATAGGTAGGATATAGGTAGGATATAATAGGTAGGATATAGGTAGGATATAATAGGTAGGATATAGGTAGGATATAGGTAGGATATAGGTAGGATATAGGTAGGATATAGGTAGGATATAATAGGTAGGATATAGGTAGGATATAATAGGTAGGATATAGGTAGGATATAGGTAGGATATAATAGGTAGGATATAGGTAGGATATAATAGGTAGGATATAGGTAGGATATAGGTAGGATATAATAGGTAGGATATAATAGGTAGGATATAGGTAGGATATAGGTAGGATATAGGTAGGATATAGGTAGGATATAGGTAGGATATAGGTAGGATATAATAGGTAGGATATAGGTAGGATATAATAGGTTGGATATAGGTAGGATATAGGTAGGATATAGGTAGGATATTGGTAGGATATAGGTAGGATATAGGTAGGATATAGGTAGTAATAGGTAGGATATAGGTAGGATAAAGGTAGGATATAGGTAGGAAATAGGTAGGATAAGGTAGGATATAGGTAGGATATAGGTAGGATATAATAGGTAGGATATATGTAGGATATAGGTAGGATATAGGTAGGCTATAGGTTAGGATATAGGTAGGATATAGGTAGGATATAGGTAGGATATAGGTAGGATATAATAGGTAGGATATAGGTAGGATATAATAGGTAGGATATAGGTAGGATATAGGTAGGATATAATAGGTAGGATATAGGTAGGATATAATAGGTAGGATATAGGTAGGATATAGGTAGGATATAATAGGTAGGATATAGGTAGGATATAGGTAGGATATAATAGGTAGGATATAGGTAGGATATAATAGGTAGGATATAGGTAGGATATAATAGGTAGGATATAGGTAGGATATAATAGGTAGGATATAGGTAGGATATAGGTAGGATATAATAGGTAGGATATAGGTAGGATATAGGTAGGATATAATAGGTAGGATATAGGTAGGATATAATAGGTAGGATATAGGTAGGATATAGGTAGGATATAGGTAGGATATAATAGGTAGGATATAGGTAGGATATAGGTAGGATATAGGTAGGATATAGGTAGGATATAGGTAGGATATAGGTAGGATATAGGTAGGATATAGGTAGGATATAGGTAGGATATAGGTAGGATATAATAGGTAGGATATAGGTAGGATATAATAGGTAGGATATAGGTAGGATATAATAGGTAGGATATAGGTAGGATATAGGTAGGATATAGGTAGGATATAATAGGTAGGATATAGGTAGGATATAATAGGTAGTAATAGGTAGGATATAGGTAAGATATAGGTAGGATATAATAGGTAGGATATAGGTAGGATATAGGTAGGATATAATAGGTAGGATAAAGGTAGGATATAGGTAGGATATAATGGGTAGGATATAGGTAGGATATAGGTAGGATATAATAGGTAGGATATAGGTAGGATATAGGTAGGATATAGGTAGGATATAATAGGTAGGATAAAGGTAGGATATAGGTAGGATATAATAGGTAGGATATAGGTAGGATATAGGTAGGATATAATAGGTAGGATATAATAGGTAGGATATAGGTAGGATATAATAGGTAGGATATAGGTAGGATATAATAGGTAGGATATAGGTAGGATATAATAGGTAGGATATAGGTAGGATATAATAGGTAGGATATAGGTAGGATATAGGTAGGATATAGGTAGGATATAGGTAGGATATAATAGGTAGTAATAGGTAGGATATAGGTAAGATATAGGTAGGATATAATAGGTAGAATATAGGTAGGATATAGGTAGGATATAATAGGTAGGATATAGGTAGGATATAGGTAGGATATAATAGGTAGGATATAGGTAGGATATAATAGGTAGGATATAGGTAGGATATAGGTAGGATATAGGTAGGATATAATAGGTAGGATATAGGTAGGATATAATAGGTAGTAATAGGTAGGATATAGGTAAGATATAGGTAGGATATAATAGGTAGGATATAGGTAGGATATAGGTAGGATATAATAGGTAGGATATAGGTAGGATATAGGTAGGATATAATAGGTAGGATATAGGTAGGATATAATAGGTAGGATATAGGTAGGATATAGGTAGGATATAATAGGTAGGATATAGGTAGGATATAGGTAGGATATAATAGGTAGGATATAGGTAGGATATAATAGGTAGGATATAGGTAGGATAAAGGTAGGATAAAGGTAAGATATAGGTAGGATATAATAGGTAGGATATAGGTAGGATATAGGTAGGACAGTTTAGAGTTACCGCGTTATTTGAGCGCTCCAATGTAGAAGGAGGCAGAGCCACAAGTTCCCGAGAGGTAGAGGATAGTTTGCAGATATATTGCTGTGAAAACGATCATTGCTCTTATCCCAGAGGGAGTAACTGTCACCCGAGTCATTTTCAAAAAGGGTGTCAAATTTGAGATGAAAAATCAAACTTCTATTTAATATTGAATACTGACCAACAAGCTGGTAATTATATTTATTTGAAAAAGCAACGTGATTATTCCATGAAATGGGTTGATGTTAATTTGTTAAAAGTCACATCCTCATTCCTCATGTTACCTGTATGCACTTGTCTTTTTGTTGACACGTGTACGTAAACATATTCGAACAAGAAAAGTAATTATCATTGTTTTGTTAAAAGTCACATCCTCCTTTTGTGCTTATCTTTTCGCTGGCACGTACAGTAAAACCCCGATTTACCCCGGATCCCGATTTACCGCGGACCCTGATTTACTGCGGACCCGATTTACCGCGGACTCCGATTTACCGTGGACCCCGATTTACCGCGGATGTTTCCTTTTCCCCAAACTTCCCCCAATCGTGGTTTTACTGTATTCACAAAATGCTGCAGATTATAGCAAATATAATAATTACACAGATCTGTATTCTGTAGTACCACTTACAAACTTAACGTAATAGTATTAACTGCTCTATTAAATATTGAATCAAATATTGTATTGATTGTTAAATTAATTATTAAGTTGGTTTTATCACGTTTTATGTTCACGTGATATTCCTTGACTCCATGATTTCGACATTTTGACTCAGTTTACCGTATAATTCGAATAATATTCCGTTTATTATTTTATTTTCCACTCCCCTAGAACATTCTAACATTTCGGTATATTTAAAGCCACGCATTTAATCGGTTTGTCTTTCCAAAGAACATCCTCTAAAGAAACAAATAGGAGAAAACTTATCAACTCCACAGTATAGTACGTTTCCTTGTCTATATTATAATTCGAAAGTGTCTGATTGTATGTACGACCGCCCACGTGAAAATTAGGTTTGGCAAGTTGTTATTATGTCGTTTTTAAAGTGTTTTACATTTAAATCGGCAGTATCTTTGGTTGGGATAGATATTTTTTGATGCGATTAAAACTTTCTTTCAAAGAGTACTACACCTGCTTTCTAGTATTAAATATAAAAGTACATTGTGATGCGTTTACATACTGATTTTGTGATATGTTGCTGTAATATCACATAACTGAGGCTGAATGGTGAATTCAGTCCAGAAAGTCTGAACCAAAATCACTCAACTAAAACAAACCAATTAAAGCAAAGTTCAATTAAAGTCCAATTAAAGTCCAATTATTAAAGTCCAATTAAAGTTCAATTAAAGTTCAATTAAAGTTCAATTAAAGTTCAATTAAAATCCAATTAAAGTTCAATTAAAGTCCAATTAAAGTTCACTAACCAGGGATTCTAGACTCAATGGTAGTCTGATAACCAGCAAGTGTGAAGACCTCACCATACTTCCTATCCCTCAGCTTGTCTACCACATCACGTGACACGCCCTGTACTGCCAACATTTCTAGAAACTTCTTTAGTCCTCCCCCGTTTCTTAGCACATCAAACACCTGTAGTAGATGGTAGTTTGGTGGTGAAAATGATCAGTTATAATGTCAATTGGTATTAAAGATATAATGAAACGGGCAGCCGGCACCGGAGCTGAGACGCGAAACCAATTTGTTTCCAAATATTTTGGAATATCCTACCATTTTCTCTCCCTCCTTCAAAGATTCTACTTTCTTGGACATTTGCAGCAAATGGGCACACTGCAGAGCAAGCACATCTACTACATCAGACGAACCCTCACCTGAGGTGGTTAAAAACATTTTAATTGATTTTTTTTAATAATATCAAATATCGGTTCTCTATTTGTGGTATAATTTGTTTAAACAAACAAACAAACAAACAAACAAACAAACAAACAAACAAACAAACAAACAAACAAACAAACAAACAAACAAACAAACAAACAAACAAACAAACAAACAAACAAACAAACAAACAAACAAACAAACAAACAAACAATCAAACAAACAAACAAACAAACAAACAAACAATCAAACAAACAAACAAACAAACAAACAAACAAACAAACAAAACAAACAAACTAACAAACAAACAACATACCAGAGAGAATTTCAATAACATCTTGTATCTCGAGAGGGTATCCAAGCATCTTACTGTAGGGAACGGTTGCGTCACTCACTTGTACTCTACACTTAATTCCCAACTGAGGAGTGTTGTATTGTAAATCACTGTTTATACAGCAGGGTGTCATAGTGTACATAGTGTACATAGTGTACATAGTGTACAAAGTGTACATAGTGTACATAGTGTACATAGTGTACATAGTGTACATAGTGTACATAGTGATCGAATTTGCTAAATTATGTGATTTCATATTCATTTTAATATTGCTATGTGTTTAAAATACTTTAGCTCAATAATGACTATTATGTTTAAATCAGTTTGTGACCATTGTGTAATGAGTGCGTAAACAATATGTGGCCAATATATGACCAATACGTGAACAATATGTAACCAGTAAGTGACCACAATAAGTGACCACAATAAGTGACCACAATAAGTGACCACAATATGTGACCAATACGCACCTGTTTGGTGAGGGCAGTTATATCGTTAGCCTGTTTGAACACAGTTTCTCGTTTACCAATGCCTCTCCCAACACACTTCATATCTCCAAAGTAGTAGGCAGAACCGCATGCAGCCATCTGAAACAATATGTATTAAATCGGTTAACTATCTTATTAAAATTATAATACTGATCATTAAGTGATCACGTGTTAATTAAATTCTGATTATACGCATAACATGTTAATTACATGTTAATTACATGTTAATTAATCTGATTACATGCATAACTGCATAATATATATAACTCAAATGTTAATTATTCAAATTCCATAACAAATTTACCAGGCTGAAGTAACGAGCAAGGTCAAGCTGAGAGCTACTCAAAGTCCCGACACTCTTCATGATCATGTTCATCTTACTTTCTACCAGGTTGAGATCCTGAGGTTAAAGCATCAAAAATACATTAAACATTGTACATTATACATTGTGCATTGTACATTATACGTTGTACATTATAAATTGTACATTATACCTTGTACATTATACCTTGTACATTATACCTTGTACATTATACATTGTACCCTATTCATTCTAACGCGCTTGACTATACCTAACAAAAAATAAGGCAGGATGTATTTTCATGAAATTCAAAGTAAAACCACGCTTGAATAATATAATGCTGAGATTATCAATTAACTTATCAATTAAAAAATTTAAATTAATTTAAAAACTTTAGGTAACATAAAGTACATTGTACAGTGTACACTGTACATTGTACATAATACACTGTACAGTGTACATTATACATTATACACTGTACATTTTACATAAAGGCTACCTGAGAGTACCCGACAAAGCAGCCGATATCTTCCATCATAGAGTTCATCTGATCGCGTGATAACTCTGGGTTAAACCCAGGAATGCATTTCAGCTTCTCCAGAGAGACGTTGTTACCAACTGTGATGGGAATTTTGTTTACTGTTGTGGTAAAGTATTTTGAAATATCAACATTTTTTGGACGCATTATTTATATTCTCTGGTTACTTAAGATAATGCAAAAAATGTGTCAATTTAATCCACAAAAATCACCAGATTTGCTGTGTAAAACATAATTTTAATCATTAACCTATATAACCTTACGTAAAATCCGGATTGAAATACTATAAATGAGTCGCATAGTTGAAATGTTTTCTTGGGTAAATTTCCTTGTCGCATCAAAAAGAAAACATAAACCTTACCTTGAATAGAGGGAACTTTAAATCCGAGAGCAGCCAAGAGAGGAACAGCAACGAGACACCTAGAGTTAAGGTTTAAAAAAAAACATATTTGATAGATTTACAGATCTAGCTTGACAAAAATATTTTTGATTGCCAGACCCACTAGAGTGTAGACCCACCATTCTGATTGCCAGACCCGCTATTTAACAGGGGCTCATAATGCGCGAGTGGGTCTGCCTAAAATTCACAGATCTAGCTGTGGGTCTGAGACATGTTAAAAAAACACCTTACCTGGAGTCTCCCATAACATCAGTAGCCTTGTAGTACACAACGTCCCACTCCTCCTTCACCTCTAGCTTCTTATTCTCCTCTATCATTGCTTTAGTTAGCTTGGCTGTCTCCACTGTAGGAAATGAGGGGGTTAGAAGAGGGGGAGAAGGTGAACTACACAGTGTGATGCAGACACGTGGTGTTGTGATGACGTCACGTGATATTGTAATGACGTCACAGTGGTAGTGTAGTGTGACGAATGTGGTAGTGTAATGAATGTGGTAGTGTGGGTACATCTACATGTTTTAACTACACTTTTTAACCGAGGGATGAAATATTTCGTTTGTTAAGGCTGTGCAAGTTGTGATATAAAACTTGACAATACAGGGTGTCCCGAAAACAGAGAACCAAGTGATCAGAGAGTTACCATGGTTACAGTAAGTAAACAAGTGATCAGTGTCAATAACTCACCAACGGTTTAGAATGCCATTTATTATTTACAAGGGCTATTATAGGGCCGAGTATGACCTCCGGAGTTCGCCAAAAAATTCTCAGACCTCATTCAGTGGGTTGTGGCAGCTTCATGACGCTTTACTACAAATTGACTGGTATCATTTTAATGTTATCGGCTTGTTCTTGGTCACAAAGTGAAGATCATGTGATGCTTTGACAACCATTTGCTTGAAAATATCACAAGAGTCGTGTAATGAGCAATTTATTGTCGTGAACTAATTGGGTACTCGAGCTGTTGACATGGTGGATCACGTGATTGTCACGCGGCTCCTGAATGAGTCTTGAAACATGTTTCAAGACATTTGGAGTCAATTTGGTTTAAAAATTCCGAACATAATGCACTAATTTTAAATGGCAGCTCTACTCAGCTGTCAAGCTCTTTAAGAAATCCGATCAGTGCCTACTGCCTTAGATCTATATCTCACAAAAAATGAATGGGCAAAATGAACAGGTTCCTGGTGGAATGGAGTGTTCTCCTCAAATTTGGAACACAGTCTCTGGAGTTTCAAGTCGTTAGTTTTTAAAATTTGAGGCAAGTTGTTAACAAAAGTAAATTTATCGCCTTTTTTGGGACACCCTGGATATTATATAGTATAACTAACAAGGGAAACAACTTTTAAAAACAACTCACAAAATTTTGATGGTTTTTATTGACAGAGAAAAAAAAAGAAAAAGTAAAAAACAACTTACAAAATTTGAGTGGTTTTTCATTGACAGAACAAAGCCACGTGCACAATTGCAAATCGTTGACAGCGCCAGTGGAGACTGCATGAACAAAGGATTTTATATCTTTCTCAAGCAATTCCCTCTCTCTGTAAGTCCTAATAAAGGATTTGAAATCGAATACATGATCCGAGCTGTTGTCACGTGCTGTTTCTGATGCCATGGCCCTAAAGTAATTAGTTAATTAATTAACTTAAGTAATTAGGAGATACGCGAGGTTAACAAATGGAGATGATATTTATAGTACATGGAACAAGCTTTGGATTTCAGATTGTGGTTGAACTATTATATACATTGAATACATTAGGGATGTGATGGTCAATGGGCCATCAAAATAAATCAGATATGCAAAATATGACCAACGATTGCAAATACAAGATGAGAAGAATTACTTAAATGACCAGTGAACAATTACGAAGAAACTTTCAATACAAATAAAAGATATATCTATCAGTCACAATTTGGTCACATGCAAATTTCTCAGCTCTCAACTTTGTGCAAATTTTGATGGCATATTTACGAAAGCTGGGAATTGCAAAAAAAGTGCTAAATCCGATAAATGTCTATATTTCCAATTTCTTGATTTTTCATATATTACGTATATTTCATTTCTTTTTGAGGAAAATAAACGGTTTAAAGAATATTGTTAAAAAACTGTATGAATTTGTGTGCTGCGCTGCCTATAGTGACGGAAAATGATTCATACATATAATTATGATTTTCCGAACATTAATACAAATAATGTGATCACCGCACTCTCAAAAGTGACAAAATAGAAAATGAAGCTGCTTTCAAAAGTCTAACTCTTAATAAAGGTGGGATTGTTCTTGATATATGATATGAAGCTTTTAAAAATCCTGCATCACTATGCGTAGTGGGCGTAATTAAATTAAATGATACTGGTTCAAACTTAAAATTTGGAAAAGGAAGCATTATGTAGCTCTGTAAAAAGTTATGTTCAATTTTATCTAAAGTCTTACATCTGACATCTATGAGTTTCTGGCGATTGTTCTGAGGTTGTGGTGAGCCTTTTTCTGGAGTCTCAATCTCCTTCATCATGTCCTCCAGTAGATAGGGGTCATTTTGGATTATAACTCCTTCCTCATGAACTATAAGGGTCTCCTTCACAGATATCGTCTCTTTCTTTTCGTTATGTCTCTTGTTCTTTTTAGTGGGAGTCTTTTTGTTGCTGGCTTGTACGTCCGTTTTAGAAGGGCTTCCAACAGATGTTTGTTGGTTTGAATTCTCGCTAGGCTCTGGATTGTATTCTGAGCCTTTCCTTCTAGGTTTGTTATCCCGCTTTTTTTGACGAGAATTAGGTTTTTCAATGTCAGGTTCTGAAACACAAAATACATGTCAGCGATCATGAGTTTTCATTGAAAACTTATTGTATAATCGATTATTGTTAATCTTCAATAATAAATATTTCGATTTGGTGCCTTTCTAAGGCATTCTAATTCTAGTTAAACTGTGCTGCAATTTCATGCAAGTCTGCAAACTTTCAAAGCCCTGAAATGTACGCTGCCTAATTCATCAATATTCCTTATCCTAGCTTAATATCACTTTGATAATATGGTAGACACTCGTTCTTATCAGGCAAGTAAAATATATCTAAATCATAACACTAAGAAAACCAACAACTACAGACTTACCACAAAATGGATGAAGCGAGGGGGCCCATTTTTGCGAAAGTCCAAGGTCCCCTAACTCGTTGATGAAATCCATTAATTGAGAATCACTCATATCATGATCTGATAATATGCAAAGCAAATGGTAATAAAACAACTTCAGCTCATAAACTCTTTTTGGTGACATGGTTCTTCCAAGATTCTTTTCAATGATCGGGTCTTCCAGCGTGAAAATAGATCTATCCATTTTCTGAGTAACTTTTTTAAGGTCAAAGTCTCTTATGTCAATAGCATACATGGAACTGTCCAACTCACAAGCATAGAACCGTAAGAAATCAAGGAAAATTTCACCCTCTGAAGCTGCAATGGATTCTTCTTGTTTAATGTAGGGAGGCTTAACAATAACATGATCTATTTTGTGCTTTCCGTGGAGGAGAAAGTTAATGTACATGAGTATGTGCCCATATGAAGATAGCCCACCTATTTTGGCGCTACCTAATGAAGGTTCCTTTGAAAGCACATACTTGATGAAACGTCCTACTGCAGGAACTTTTATATTCTTTTGGGCATATGTATTCAATAATGCAGAGTTTTCCAAAACATCATGTTTGGGATCGTGATTGGAGGAAAAAGTTACATCCAACTCCATTGCATTTTTCTTGTGCTTAACAGTAAGAATTGGATGATTACCACGCCTTACAAAGTTTAACATTGTAAAGGGTGAGGAATTTCTTTTGAGAGAATCGCGGAGTGGGTTAAAGTAGGTATTTTTTCGCTTCAAGTCATAATTTGACATGACAAAGCAGTCAACGTCAGATGATTTGGTACCAAAGCCATTTATGCATGATCCAAAAATGTATACATTTGCACTGGGGCCAAATGTATTATGGCAAATTGCTCTCAGATCGTCAACAGCTTCATTTCTCTTTTGATTGAAAGCGTCATCTTGATGTGAGTTGTCATTGTAACAGTTGATAACTTCTGTTAATGTGCGAACTGCACTTTCACTCCTCTCAGGTATGTCATCAACACCAAAGTAAATTTTACCATTTCTTTTAAATTTTTCTTCCGGCATTACCTAGAAAAGTTTTTGTTACTTGATTTATTTACTTCACATTTCAAGTTTTTATAAAACCATAGTTATAACATATTAAAATTCTTTGAAAGCAGGAAATCATACACTTGAAAAAACAACTTTGTATTGAATATGGAATGAACTTCTGGACTCAATACACTCTTTATCGAATGCCAGAATCTTTTAAAGCAGCTTTTAAAAGCAGAACAAAAAACTTATGCAAATCAAATCAGATAATAGTATAACACAAACATCTCAAACTTCATTGTAAATAATGGCTACAATACAGGCTAGAATTGACAGGCATACATATATCAGGGGCAACATGTGGGCAGTGGCGTAACGTTACTTTGTGCCGCCCCCCTGCTGATTGAAATTTGCCGCCCCTTTTCCGCCCCTAAAATTTTGTGTCCCTAAAAAAAAAAAAAAAAAAAAAAAAAAAAAGGTCGGGTACTTTTTTTGCCGCCCCCTACACCTTTTTGCCGCCCCCTGAAGCAACAATGGTACCCCAAATATTTTTTTCACGTCGACCGAACGCTAAATTCGACAGGGTAGTTGACCAATAAGGCGCTTTTTCCGTGAAATCAGACCTACAATCCAGGAAAATGCCGCCCCCCTAAGGTGCCGCCCCCCTGCTAGCAGGGTTAGCAGGGGCGGTTGTTACGCCACTGCATGTGGGAGCTGGCTGGCGTTATGTCTGGTGTTCGATCGACGGACTCAGGGGCTTGAATGAATGTGTAACAGGCAACAGCAAACACAAACTTATAAAACGAGTGAAATAGGACACCATATGTGTACTATCTCAGCCACACAGAATAATTAGGTCGAATCGCATGGTCGCCAAAGGGTCCAGTATGTTGATGCAATGATGTGCTTCATAGCATTTGCGATTAACTGTGTGTTACTACTGCATGGCTGAGGCATCCAAATGAGGATTGGACGCCTCACAACATGATTTCACAAAGATCATGCGTGCGTTTACAGTCAAACGTTTGAGTAAAATAACAAGCTATATATTGCAATATTTCCGAATACTCTTTTTCAAGCACCAGATAATAATTTCAGGGCGTCCACAGATGCCTGGACACCCTCAGCAGCCGCCTCTGATATTGTATATGTTATATTTTACAGCAATCTGTCGCAAAACAGGGGGTTTAAAAAGTTCAGAACTATAATAATAATAAATACAACATTTATAAACCGCCTTATAGCTAAATCATATAACTTGATATAATTTAATCCTACAATATTACTCTGACATGGTTCCTTAGGCACCTGAATATGTAATATCCGGCTCGGAAAATCATTTGTAAGTTGCATAGTTGTAATGTTTCTGGGGCAAAATTTGGATTGATTCCGTTTGTTGCAACAAGGAAAAGACTCTCAATGAAACAAGAATGGAGCAAGAAATTTAATTTTAGCAGAATTCATAAAATGTAATGCCCATTAAGTGTATGACTTTTTGTCCTTGACTGCTAGTTTGGTTTTGGAAGGACAAGTAACTAACGGGCAAGGAATGCGCGTGCCTGAAAGCTTTTGCGCACACCGAAATGCTATTTCAGTTAAGTTTTTAAAGACAAGGCTCATATTTGTATTAGGACAAAAAGAAAATTGTTAGCAGATATTAGGGATTCTGTGTATAGTTGTTACTATAGGTTGCAGTTTTACTTAATATATATAACGGGTGATACTCGTAAAATATATGTTCCATATATTGGACCGTCGACGAGTCCACCTCGGCGCGCGTTTTGGTAGGTTGTAAACCTACAGCGATCTCGATGGGTTGACACCGTCAATAAATCACATTGCACGCTTCAAAGATAAAGTTGCAAACTTTTGATCAGCCCAAAATGAAACCTTTTTGGAGACTTTGATATTTTAACTTAAAATCTTTGTTCTGTCAAATTTCTTTTTAGAGGAAAACGTTATTTTTACAAGACGAACATTTTGCCAAAACCGGATGAAAACTCTTATCTGCAATCTAGTTTATCTCTTTTACTTTTGAAGTTAGGCCCCAGCCAGTAAAGTTTTTTGGCCGTGCACAGCTTGACGGATGTTACTCGTCTAAATTTCTTCGAAGTAGCGCGCGCCGCTTTCTTCTCGATGGCACGAGCTACGAAGTTGCGCGCACCGGGCCAGATCATTAACATGACAATGGTCAATGCACAGCGCATAGTACATATTATTAATATCGTGATCCCGATACTTACTGGGCCGCGCTCATCCTGTCATTCCGTTGAATCTTTATGTTTATGAACGTACTAATGATATACTATTTAAATATAAATAGAGAATATAAACGACAATTTGGGTTACAACGTGATACAAGCCTGGCGTATTTGAACCAAATGCGCGGCGCAAGTAGGCGGTTTTGTGATTTATTTATCCGGCCAATAATCAGATTTTACAATTATAACCCAGCACGCGGCTTTTTCTTTTTGTTTTTCATACGTTGTATGACCCGATTTGCTCTAACCAGAGCCCTCTCGCTTGCAGCTAGTATAGCGCGCCACCGCCTACATGTGAAACAAGTGCGTCACGAGTATACACTGACACATGGCTATGTAATGCGAATGACCCGACTTACTGGACCGCGCTCAGCCTGTCATTCCGCCGAATATAATCTTTATAAACATGATAGCGTGAGGTCCCCAGGTAAGACCCGACGCGCACGAGTGCACGGCTCCCTCTGTATGAGTATCGTCGTAAGAACGATACATCATAGCGAAACGACCGTGGGGGTCACGACGTGAAACAAGCTTTTGTAGTGTATACGTCATTTCTTTCCAATTGATTGGTAGTTAGCGTGTACGTACGTTTCTTTCAAAGCTGCAATTGATTATAAACGATTATTTGAATGGTGGCCACGTGCACTTCCAATACAATGAGCATGGAGCATCCTCACTTTTTTCATTTCGATCTGTGATCTGGAAGTTGTAATTCACAGTTAAAAGAACGATCGCTGAAAGGAAAAAAAAGTATGCAATTGAAGTTCGGAATAGATTCTCTGGCCTGGTAGAGGAGGATGATGGGGCCACTGAAAGCTACAGGAAGCTTATGGTTGCTATTGAGGCGGCAAACAAGAGCCTTCTGCCAAAGAAGACTCGACAAAAGCAGATTGACCCCTCAAGTGACCCAAGAGTGGACAGTGCAAGGAGGGGACTGTTCTTGGCCAAGGACAAATACCATCAGGAGCCTTGCGAGGAGAAGAGAGAGGAAGTCGCCACTAAAAAGGATTTGTTAAAGGCCTGCTACAAAGAGGTAGAGGAGGAGATCCTGAAAGGAAAGATCAGGAAAGTTGAGGATACTGCTGATCGTTGTAAGAACAAGGAAAGCTGGAAGCTTGTCAACGATATTTCAGGGAGAACAAATCCCAGCTGTGGACTCGTTGAAGGGGGCAGCTCAACAGAACGTCTCGAGAACTGGAGGAAGCACTTCTCTGGATTACTTGGACAGCCACCCACAGTCCCTGACAATAGTATTCCTATCAGGAATATACACCCTCCACTGAATATAGAGGATGGCCCGTTCACAATTGAGGAACTACGTCTTGCCAAAAAGCAGATAGTAGAAGGTAAAGCTTATGGTGATGATGGTATCTCACCTGAAGTGATGAAGAGGGTGGACATTGATGACGTCATCCTGAAGTTCTGCAACGATGCACTATGTGACGGTCTCATGCCCGATCAATGGAAGCTCAGTAATATTGTTCCTGTGCCAAAGAAAGGGGACCTCACTAAGACCGACAACTACAGAGGAATATCTCTGACATCGATAGTCAGTAAAACTCTGAACAAAATGTTGCTTAACAGGATGAAGCCAAGTCTTGAGGAAGTTTTAAGGGACAACCAGAATGGCTTTAGACCTGGGCGCTCTACAACATCGCACATTCTTGCTCTACGAAGAATTATGGAGGGTGCTAGAGCCAAAAACCTAAAGGCCACCATGGTTTTCATTGATTTCAAGAAGGCGTTCGATAGTGTGCATAGAGGTTTGCTCATGAAGATATTGAAAGCATATGGCATACCAGAAGCCATAGTGCGGCTCATTGAGGGTATATATACGAGCACAAAGGCTAAAGTAGTTACAGCTGATGGTATAACAGAGATTTTTGATATCCTGGCTGGAGTACTGCAAGGAGACACTCTTGCCCCGTACTTGTTCATTATCGTGATTGACTATATCATGACAGTGACTATAGACGATGATGACTCGGACTCTGGGTTCACTCTCAGGCCTGCACGGAGTAGAAGGATTGGTGCCGAGAAGATCGCAGACGTCGAGTTTGCACATGATGTTGCCCTTATCACTGATACCATTGAAGGGGCAAAACTACTCCTGGACAGGCTTGAGGAAGCAGCACTGAGTGTTGGGCTAGCCATGAACGACACTAAAACTAAGTTCATGACTCTGAACATGACAGAGGAGGCGAGTAGTCTTAACAGTTGTGGTGGAAACCAGAGTTTGGAAAATACGAATTTTCGTTTTGTTACGTTCCCTGCTGTGGGCTTCATCTGACCGAAATCAAACTTACAGCACCTCAATCGTGTCATATGCCACATGTAGATGACTGACTAATTGGTTACGGGCCAGAAATTTGGTAAAAACTGTAAAATTTTGGTCCTGCAAAGTTTATCTTAGAAAACTGAAAATGGGACAGAAAATGGGACAATACAAGGTTTACAAGGTTTACAAGGTTTACAAAAAATAGATCTATATTACAGTGAGATAATGTCAGATCAGCATAGCTAAAGGTCAAAGTCCGAAATCCAAATAGAAAATCCGTTACCATTAAGGTGTTTGATGAGTGTAAAGAAAAAGTGAAAATGAAGGGGCTGTGGAGGAAATGTGATATCCCGTACTGAGACACTAATGTTCGTGTTTCTTCTTTATAGGGAATCGTGTTCTGCACAGCTGAGCGACGAACTTGGTGAATTCCACTATGTGCTCCGGTAGAAAGAGGCTCTTCATGTCATGAAATAGTAATGACTTTGTGGGCTCCTTCATGTTAGTCCTACTGG